GTATAACTATAGTACACTATATCACAACAGAATATTGAAACTGCTAGAAACATCGGTCTTACTGAGATTTCACCAGTGTTAGAACACTCATTTGTGTGCGCATGTGTTTAGTTCTGTGCAACTTTATCACCCGTGATTCCTGTGACCACCACAGTCAAGATCTAGAACAGTTCATCACTAGGATCCCTCATGCTCCTCTTTTATAGCCAAACCCATTTCCCTCCCTACTTAGGCCCTCCAGGCCTAACCTCTGGCAACCACTAAACTGTCCTCTATCTCTATAATTTTGTTATTTCCAGAATGTTAGGACCTGGCATGGTGGCCCACACCTGTAATCCCAAAACTTTGGGAAGCTGAGGCGGGTGGATCATCTAAGGTTAGGAGTTTGAGACCAGCCTGACCAACATGTTGAAACCCTGTCTCTACTGAAAATACAAAATTAGCCAGGCGTGGTGGCAGGCGCCTATAATCCCAGCTACTCCGGAGGCTGAAGCAGGTGAATCGCTTAAACCCGGGAGGAAGAGGTGCAGTGAGCCGAGACTGCACCACTGCATTCCAACCTGGACAATAGAGTGAGACTCTGTCTCAAAAAAAAGGAAAAAAGAATGTTAGGCTGGGTGTGGTGGCACATGCCTGTAGTCCCAGCTACTTAGGATAAAGCAGTTGAACCACTGGAGAGTTTGAGGCTGCAGTGAACTCTGATTGCGATCATGCCATTGTATTCGAGCCTGGGTGACAGAGCAAGGCCCGGTCTCAAGAAAAAGAAAAAAAAAAAAAAAAAAAAGGGAGCTGTGATCTCACAACTGCTCTTTAGCATGGGCAACAGAGTAAGATTCTTTTTTTTTTTTCAAGACGGAGTCTCACTCTGTCACCAGGCTGGAGTGCAATGGCCTGATCTTGACTCACTGCACTCTCCACCTCCTGGGTTCAAGTCATTCTCCTGCCTAAGCCTCCTGAGTAGCTAGGACTGCAGGCATGTGCCACCACACCAGCTAATTTTTGTAATTTTAGTAGAGACGGGATTTCACCATGTTGGCCAGGATGGTCTGGAACTCCTGACCTCAGGCGATCCGCCTGCCTCGTCCTCCCAAAGTGCTGGGATTATAGGTGTGAGCCACCGCTCCCAGCCTGATTCTGTCTTTTTAAAAAAACAAAACCAATAAAACTGAGATGCCTTGAGACTTGATGCATCTGCCAGCACCCAAATCATGAGGGTGGTCTTAGTGCAGGTGACTTATCTCCCATACTGCTAAGTACTCAGGGGGCTGCTTCTTGAAAGGTAACTAGGCCGGGCGCGGTGGCTCACGCCTGTAATCTCAGCACTTTGGGAGGCCGAGGTGCGCAGATTGCCTGAGGTCAGGAGTTCCAGACCAGCCTGGCCAACATGGTGAAACCCTGTGTATACTAAAAATACGAAAATTAGCCGGGTGTGGTGGCGGGTGCCTGGAATCCCAGGTACTCGGGAGGCGGAGACAGGAGAATCGCTCGAACCTGGGAGGAGATTACAGTGAGCCAAGATTACGCCACTGCACTCCAGCCTGGGCAACATAACGAGACCCCGTCTCAAAAAAAAAAAAAAAAAAAAAAAAAAAAAAAACGAAAGAAAAGAAAAGAAAATAAAAGAAAGGTAACTAGCCCTCTCCTGCAGAAAACATGGCCTTGATTCAGAACACTCAGAGTTTCAGGGTTTGGCCTGAGTGTTTACTGAGACTCATCAGAGGCGCCACATGAAATCATTTAGGAACACAGGTACCTCTTTGATGGGGCCTATGCTGTCATTGGTAGCAGATGGCAGAGCAGCTGGTGGAGTCTTTGCATCCTTCTGGTCACCTGGTAATTAGCAGGAGTAGTATTTTCTTTTATATTTTTTTGAGACAGGGTCTAACTGTCACCCAGGCTGAGGTGCAGTGGTGCAATCTTGGCTCACTGCAACCTCTGCCTCCTGGGCTCAAGTGATCCTGCCACCTCAGCCTCCCAAGTAGCTGGCCTACAGGTGTGAGCCACCATGGGCCCAAGTAATTTTTATATTTTTTGTAGAGTTGGGGGTCTCGCTATATTGCCCAAGCTGCTCAAACTCATCAGCTCGGCCGGGCACACTGGCTCACGCCTGTAATCCTAGTACTTTGGGAGGCCGAGGTGGGTGGATCACCTAAGGTCCAGAGTTCAAGACCAGCCTGGCCAACATGGTAAAACCCCATCTCTACTAAAAATACAAAAATTAGCTGGGCGTGGCAACATGCACCTGTAATCCCAGCTACTCAGGGAGCTAAGGCAGAATCGCTTGACTAGGGAGGCGGAGATTGCAATGAGCTGAGATCGCACCACTGCACTCCAGCCTGGGTAAGAGTGAGACTCTGTCTTAAAACAAAACAAAACAAAACAAAACAAAACCAAAACCCTCCTCAGTTCAAGCGATCCACCTGCCTCAGCCTCCCAAAGCACTGGCATTACAGGTATGAGCCACTGTGCCAGGCCTCAGGGTATTTTCAAGTGTTAAAGCAGCTTTCTCCAAAATCCAAAACTACTACCCAAAATTATGCCTCTTTCTTAGTGATGAGTTTCTGTAACCAGGACCCTTGAGATTTCAACACCTGGCATTTTTAGTGACTCAAATAATGAAAATTCTTATCAGGTCCTTACTTGCTTACACGTTAACCACTCGCTTTTTGCCCAATATTCCTTGTTTCCATAATGAAATTATAAACTGCTGGAATACTGTTCCTTGTGAAGGAGGGGTTAACTTCAGGGCCATAACAAAATTTTGCAGAACGAATGAGTATCTTTAAACACACTGTGACCAGCTGCAGACACCCAGAAGTCTGGTTATTCAAGACACTATGTGAGACTAAAGAAACATAGATTTTTCCCCCCTTAGTTCTCTGAAACTGCTCCTCCCTTATTCTCTAGCTGTGTAAAAACTCCCTATGCCTGCCATGGTGGCGTATGCCTGTAATCCCAGCACTTTGGAAGGCTGAGGCTATAGTGTACTATGTCAATTGTGTATCTGCAGCAAGTTCGGCCTCAATATGACCTCCCAGGAGTGGAGGACCACTAGGTTGCCTAAGGAGGGGTGAACTATCCCAGGTTGAAAACGGAGGTCAAAACTTCCATGCTGAGGCCATGCGTGGTGGCTCACGCTTGTAATACCAGCACTTTGAGACACTGCACTCCAGCTTGGGTGATACAGGGAGATGCCATCTCTAAAAATAAAAAACAAAACAAAACCTCCACGCTGCTTCATTTTTGTTAAGGCAGATTTCTCACCTTGGCCAAATCAAATAAACCTTTATCTCCAAGCACCTGTGTCTCGATGTTTGGCATCAGCTACACAAGCCTGAATTTGGGGTTCTACAACATAACAAGATGCAGTATCTTGACCTTTACCTTGCAGGGAATGCCCTTGTCATGCCCAAGGCCACAGGTTGAAAAACATTTCCTGTAACAGTGTCAGTAAATATTTTAGGTTTTGTGGGCCATGTGGTCTCTGATACAACTACCCATCTGCCTGCCTGCTGTAACACCTGGGCAGCTATAGACCGTATTAACAAATGGGCATGGCTGTGTGAAATAGGCCTGGCTGGGTGCCATGGTACATGCCTGAAATCCTAGAACTTTGGGAGGCCGAAGAGTACAGATCACTTGAGCTGAGAAGTTCAAGACCAGTCTGGGCAACATAGTGAGACCCCATCTCTACAAATAATACATAAATTAGCTGGGAATAGTGGTGTGGGACTCCAGTCCCAGCTACTTGGGAGGCTGAGGTGGGAGGACAACTGGATAACTTGAGCACGGGAGGCTGACACTGCAGCGAGCCAGCATCATGCCACTAGACCCAACCTGGGAATCAGAGATTTGCTCCTCCCCAACAATCCTGGAGCAAGGGGATGTGTTTTGCTGTCCATGTTACCTTGGGACATCAGGTCATCTAACACATTCACTTTCCCATCCCCTGAAGCCCTTTCCACCCATGCATCCTAAATCTAGCAGACTTCCAGGGGTGTGCAGGTACTCTTCCCCACCACTCTACAAAATCTGAGGTCTCATCTTCACCGCATTCCAGCCCCGTTTCCAGCTGAAACTCCAGTTTTCCAGTGGAAACTTCACTGTTTCTCTGGTTTCCCTCACCTGTAGTCCTCTGCTTCCCCCTGCAATGCTGACACTCGAAGCATGGTAGGCCCATGGGTAGGCAGAGATCCCAGATCAGGGTTACAGCAAGGATAGTTCTCTCTAGGTTTTCCCTATGCCAGTCTTCTGCATCCCTGTATCCTGCCATTCCTGGTGATGCCGCTGCCCTCACATCAGGCCATCCAAGCATGCAGAACACTGGAACTAAGGACTGTACCTAAGCTGAGCCTCTGAAGCCCAATGGAGCTAGAAAAGGCTGAAGACTTCACAGACTTAATTTTTAATGCAACTCTCAGGGGTTTAACCAAAAGCATTTACTCTTTAAGATATTAATGAAGACCCTTAATACTGGTAAAATCATTAACACTATATAGCTAGTAAAGGGGGAAAATAAACATTTTTGAATAGAATGGTTTTAAATAAACTCCACATTTTAAAGTCCTAATGGTTTGTATTTAGCATAAGGTTTAAAATGATAGTAATACTGTATGCTGTATGTAGAGCTGCCTGAATTTTAACACTGCTTTGTTGCCTAGGTGGGTAGCAATTTGAAAACAGGTCTCGAGCTTGGTAACGGGTATCCTGCCATAACCTAATCAACAAATGCACCCTACAGAAATCAGGAAAGTGACCAAAAAAAAAAAAAAATTTAAATCAGCATTTTATAAAAACTAGAAACAAAATAATGGTTTTCACAATGTAGCACTTGAAACTAAAGCTCTCCCGCTATCAACAGATGTGACTCCAGCATCAAGGGCCCAGCAGGAAATTCCGAATGGTTTAGAACAGTGCACGTAAGTTGCCAGTGGCTGGGGCTGTGTGTCTATTTGATGCTTCCCAGAATGTGTGCTGCTAGTCACCATTTCCACCATTCACATATTTAACATTTTTATTAGACTTTTATTTAGCCTCATCATAAGAATATAAGGGAGATCATAGATTTGATGTATGAAATTTTTAAATTCACACTAAAATACATTACGATTAAAATGAATTATCTTCAACCCATTTTGCTATCTTTTGCTGAGTAATCTGTGCCAGTCATTGTGAAAAAGTCTTTATTTTAAGAAAAAAATTTAGTTAACAAAAAATTTAACAAGTTTCACTTAGCAAAATACACCCAAAAGGAAATCACAGTACAAAGAAAGTTTTAAGTCAAGGCCTCACCAATTCCTACAGTATTAGTATTGTGTCTCAATTCTCAAAACTAACTTTTAAAAAGCTTAAACTTAACCTAAAGGATCTTAAATGAAAATATAAACTAGAATGAACAAACATGAGAAATATTTCTTTGAATCAGGGAGCTAGCACCTTTGAGTTTTCCAAAAAAGCACGTCTCCCCAGTGTGTTCACTGTGATGTGGTGTAAAAGATCCACATTTAACATACTTAAACTACTTAAACTCGGATAACATCACTCTGAAGTATACTACCAAAATGTTAATTGAGAAAAGCTGAAAATAGTTTTAGTTTACTCATTATCACATGCTAGAAGAAAATTTTGCATGAGAAAACACTGAAGAGGTAATTTTTTAATCCAGATTTCACAAACTCATGGTGCAAAATGGGTCCCCCAGCTTCCTCTATTATAACTGCTCTTAACTGCTTGTTGGCTGCCTGTGAAAATTTGATTGAAATAACTCAAATGTTCCTAACAAAACTAGTCATAGCCACCCATGCTGTTCTGCCCACTATAGCCGGCCCCGTAACAGCCACTCACTGACTGGCTCTCCAGGCCACTATAAGTGGCCTGGGCAGCAGACACCCCCATGCCTTGCATCACCTGGCTGCTATACGCCCCATTGCTGGCCCCTGTTGTTGAATTCAAGAAGAGTTCTATGTATCTGTGCTGCATATTGGCCCTGTCTTTGGACATAGCTGCCACAGCTTCTTCATGAGTAGCAAACTCAACATCTGCTTCACCCGTCACTCTTCCATCTGGGCCGATCTCAATATGGACTCTCACAGGGTTGAGAGGAGAGAAGAAGTTGTAAATGTCGTTCTCGGTCGCTTTGTATGGCAGACCCCTCATGTGGACACAGTGGCCTGTGGTGCTCTGCACTGTGAACTCACTGTCGCCATATCTGTGGTCATACATTCCGGAGAGACAGTAGCTGAGATCTCTCCCGAACAGGTCGGTGGTGAAGCCGTAGCCATCACTGAGGCCACTGTACTCCTCGTAGCCCCCGTAGCCTGTGCTGTAGGCACCGGGCCTCATCCTCTCCAGGCCTGCCTGCTTCACGATGCCAATATACCTCCTGGCAGTCCCGGGCCGGTCATAGGGCCCTGGCCGCTGCACGGACATGAACTTCAGAGGGGGATCTGAGTATGACCTAACTTCCTCCTGGCTGCTCTTAAACACCTCGATGTACCTGTGCCCTATCCTCTCCTTGTGCTTCCCTAGAGCCTTCTCAGCTAACTCCTGCGAGGCAAACTGCACGAACGCTTCCCCTGTAATCTTGCCTTCGGGGTCCACAGGCAATGTGATCCCGTTTGGCACGATTTCCAACCCTGAGAAGAACTGAACAATTTCTTCCTTTGTGCATCCAAATGGGAGTCCTCGAAGCCGCACGAAGCCATCGTTGGCGCTGTCGGCACTGTTGGGACCGCTGTGCTTCAACACCCAATCCATCTCGGTTCTGTGGGACTTGAACACCTCAATGTACCGGTGTCCCATGCTTTCCCTGTCTTTTTTCAGGGCCATTTTTACATCATCTTCTGATCCAAGTTCAACAAAAGCCTCACCACTCTGCCTGCCCTCTCTAGTATAGATGAAATGGACACCTGCGGCCCCATCATGAATCGTGCAGTCAGAGAGGAAGTTCTGCACGTCCTCAACAGAGCAGGACCAGGGCAGGCCACGGAGCTTGACCACAAAGCCTTCACCTCCCTCAGGGCCCAGCATCATGGACACTTGACAGGGTGGGTGTCAGGTGATCTTGGGTGTGGCTTTTTTGTGGCTGGAAAAAAAAAAAAAAAGACAAATTTATTTAATATGCACAACAAAAGTATGCAACAGAAAATTTCCCCATTTTACAGATGAGAGAGGTAGCAAGACATTAAGAAATATACCAAATACAATTGAGAGCTAAGATTTAACTCCAGGTTTCTCAAAAAATTACATGAGCAGTCATAGGCAATTTGAAAAAAATCAGGAGTTTACAAGACAGGACGATGCATGTGAACGTGGTGCCTTGAACACAGAGAAATGTAAATTTCAGTCAGGTGAGAGCAAGTGCATTTCCTTGTTATATTTATTCCACGTTTGTCATGATAATTATGTGGCAGTTCACTTATAAGAGCACCTCAGTTCTTCCTAAACTATAGGCCTTACATTTGGTTAAACAGTAAATTTAGTAAATTTTATTGTTTATGGTAGGATACTTTTACTTTCATGAGAAGGGATGGGAACATAGCAGGCTGTTTTTAAACCACAACATAGGGTAAGATTTTCTAATTTTCTCATCGGCAGTAATGTTGCCAGGATACAAGACAGTAACGGCTTACAGTGTCTACAGAGGTATGATTTTGCTCCCAAATCGTCAATTCAAACTAAATATCAGATTCACCAGTTCACATAAAATATAGCAGAATTGCTGTCTTTTGCTTAAGATCTAGAAGAGGGCACCGGGAAGAAAGGGCAATCGCAAGAGGGCTGAGAAATGCCCTTCCCACCAGGGTGGTACATGGCACTTGGAAGTCCAAACTCAAAGAATAAGGCCAACTACACACTAGAAGGCAGTCTTCTGAGAAAGAGCAGCAGCTGACCCAGACGCCAGGGTATACAGCATAGCCAGCCATAAGCAAGAAAAATACTGCAGTATTATGGTGCCGAAGACATATTTTTGTATGAACAATGTCAAAGATGATGCTCAAAATGAGCACAGGAGTATATGGAAATCTTTTTTTTTTTTTTTTTTTTGAGACAGAGTTTCACTCTTGTTGCCCAGGATGGAGTGCAGTGGCACGATCTTGGCTCACTGCAACCTCCGCCTCCCTAGTTCAAGCGATTTTCCTGCCTCAGCCTCCCGAGTAGCTGGGATTACAGGCATGCACACCAAGCTATTTTTTTTTTTTTTTTTTTAAGTAGAGACGGGGTTTCTCCGTGTTGGTCAGGCTGGTCTCTAACTCCCAACCTCAGGTGATCCACTCCCCCGAGCTTTTTTTTTTTTTTTTTGGAGACGGAGTCTTGCTCTGTCTCCCAGGCTGGAGTGCAGTGGCGGATCTCATCTCACTGCAACCTCCGCCTCCCAGGTTCCAGTGGTTCTCTCCCCTCAGACTCGCGAGTAGCTGGGATTACAGGTGTGTGCCACCATGCCCAGATAATTTTTTTTGTTTTTGTTTTGAGACAGTCTCAATCTGTCACCCAGGCTGGAGTGTAATGGCACAATCTCAGCTCACTGCAACCTCCGCCTCCCAGGTTCAAGAAATTCTCCTGTCTCAATCTCCTGAGTAGCTGGGATTACAGGCCACCACACCCAGCTAATTTTTTGTATTTTTAGTAGATACGGGGTTTCACCATGTTGGCCAGGCTGGTCTTTAATTCCTGACCTCAGGTGATCCGCCCACCTTAGCTGCCCAAAGTGCTGGGATCACAGGCATGAGCCACCATGCACAGCTGGAAATCTAATGTTTCAAAGTGTCATTTTACATCAAGCATAACAGGTACAAGCTGCTAGTCTTTTCAAGCAATATGGGCTCATCATGTGGGGAAAAATGCTCCATTAAAAAAAACCCCACAGTTTAAAAAACAGACAAAAAGTATAGGTAAGTGCAATTTAAGAAAAGGAAAAGCAAATTCATAATAAATGAAATGCTCAACTGCACTAGCTTCAGGGAAAACTAATTAGTAACAAGTAGTTACCATTTTGACTGATCATATTAGTAATTTTAAAGTTTGATGTAGCCAATGCAGATGACATTTATCATACAGTGCTTCGTTATTTCAAATTGACAATGTCTAAAAGGATAATTGTGTAAATCTTTTAAATCTGCCTGTGTCTACACCAGATTATAAAGACAACAAGACATGTCTCTTCTCCCAATAACAAGCATAATGACACAAATGAAACAGAACAGTATGTGATATCCTGAACACATCACCAAGACCAAATACCCGGCATTTACTCATGAACTGTGACTTGGCATGCAAGGGCTTTGAAAGTATACAGCCTAAGTAAAAGACGTCACCCTTGCTAATGAGTGGAACATGGAAGCCTCTGGGATGAGAGTCAAGGGGAGCTTAACCTGGATTGCTCATTGCCTACCTCAAATGTATTGACTATGTACATCAACTCAATCAACTTTTATAAAATAATCCTGAAGGGCAAAGGATTGGGCATAAATAATCCTATCTCCAATTCTCAAACTGTGCTTTGGGTCTGCAATAAACACCGGGGTTTAGCCTCCACCTTAGAATGTAATGGTCCCTGCCTCCCCAGGCCTTACCTAAATCCCCTGCAGCAGCACATGGCCACGGCAACATGCTGACCTGGCAGAGCAAGGTCACAGGAGCTTCTTCCTCTCCTGCCCATGGAGGGAATTCTGTGCTAACAGCTCAGAAGCTCCTCCTTGGAAAGTCAGGGCAAGTTTGCATTGTGTCTCTTGGGATAATGGGTCCGGGATCGCACAATTACAGGTGGGGGCTCCTTATGCAATTCCATTCCTAACACCCGGTCAGCCTAGGAACCACCTGTCCTTTTGTTTTTGACCATACCCTGGTCTTGCTCCTCAAACATGGAAAGTATCTGAAGGCCTCCCTCAGGTTCTGTTCCCAGCCTTCGGTCCAGCCATCATTCTGGGTGGGGGAGATGAAGCCATAATCCACTAACCATTTTCTCCTGGACCCTACACCTCCAATGATTTCACCATTCCCTGCAGGAAACCCCATCCTAATCACATCCTCCTCCCTCCACCACAACTGCTATCCCCCTCCTTTGTAGGGACCCTGGCTTCCTTATCCACACAGCCTCTCATTCTCTCCTCATTCTTCATAATCTGGCTTAGAGCAAGTATCATTTTAGGTTCCTTCCTCACAATACATGGAATTCATTCAATGAACTTCTTCCTTAACTGTACGCACCCAGTAAAACCAGAGCTCTCTGTAAGATTCCAAACAAATATCTGACTACTCCATGGATGTACTGAGTGGCTCAGCTGCACACAGACAGGCCAAATGGTGCCTCTAGGCTACGATTTCTCAGCCTCAGGACTACTGACATTTTGGACCAGACAGTTCTTTGTGGTCTGGGGGCAGGCCCAGGCACTGTAGGATGTTTAGCTGCATGCCTGGTCTCTGCCCACTAGATGCCAGCAGCACCCTCCACCTCCTGTTCTGACAACCAAATGTCTCCAGACATTCCCAAATGTTCTCTGGTGGCTAATGCTGCCCTCAAGTTGTCAAATACCATAGAAAATCAGGGTGAGGCCGGGCACAGTGGCTCCAACCTATAATCCTAGCACTTTGGGAGGCCAAGGTGGGTGGGATCATTTGAGGTCACGAGTTCCAGACCAGCCTGGCCAATAGACAAAACCGTGCCTCAACTAAAAATACAAAACACTAGACTGGGTGTGGTGGCTCATGCCTGTAATCCGAGCACTTTGGGAGGCCGAGGTAGGTGGATCACGAGGTCAAGAGATCAAGACCATCCTGGCTAACGCGGTGAAACCCCGTCTCGACTAAAAATACAAAAAATTAGCCAGGCGTGGTGGCGGGCGCCTGTAGTCCCAGCTACTTGGGAGGCTGAAGCAGGAGCATCGCTTGAACCTGGGAGGCAGAGGTTTCAGTGAGCCAAGATCACATCACTGCACTCCAGCCTGGGCGACAGAGTGAGACTCCGTCTCAAAAAAGAATTACCTGGATGTGGTGGCGGGCGCCTGTAGTCCCAGCCACTCGGGAGGCTGAGGTGAGAGAAAACCAGGAAGCGGAGTTTTCAGAGTGGAGATCACACCACTGCACTTGAGCCCAGGTGACAGAGTGAGAATCTTGACTCCACAAAAACAAAACAAAACAAAACAAAACAAAACCCCCACCACACAAGAAGAAAAAAAAAAAAAAAAAAAAAAAAAAAAAAAAAAAAAGAAAATCAGAGTGAACAGCCTTAAGAGTAAGCAGGCCATCAATATCGCCCACTGTCCTACCCCAGCACCCTGCTTGTCCAAAGCCCTTCAGATGTCTGGGGCAGCCTTACAGATTCTCACCTCCTCTCCAGCTGGTCGACATTACTCTAGGAAGTGGACTTTGTGAAGTCAAGTCAGAGTCTAGGAGTTTGTAATCAAGTAGTGGGTCCCTTACAGCGGACATTATGAACAGCTCTGCTCTGGGTCCAACCTCACATACCCCGGGGTCCATGCTTTTTTCTTTCTTTCCCCTTTCTCCACTGAGCACTGTCTACTTGGTAATTAAACATGCTCAGTTCTACCCAATCATGTCATACCTCCCCTGCGCCAACTTTGTCTCTAGCTACTTGTTGATTTGTTTAGTAAAATCTTGTCAAAAGGTCTCTACTGTCACTTCTACTCCCCACCATTAAAACTGCACGATCAAGGTCAAGAGTGGTGGCTCACCAGAGTCAGGAGTTCAAGACCAGCCTGACCAAAATGGTGAAATCCTGCCTCTACCAAAAATACAAAATTAGCTGAGCATAGTGGTGGACACCTATGCTGAGCGCAGTGGCTGACGACTTTAATCCCAACACTTTGGGTGGCTAAGGCAGGCAGATCACTTGAGGTCAGGAGTTCCAGACCAGCCTAGCCAACATAGTGAAACCCCGTCTCTACTAAAAATACAAAAAATTAGCCAGGTGTGGTGGCGGGCGCCTGTAGTCCCAGCTACTCGGGAGGCTGAGGCAGGAGAATGGCACGAACCCGGAAGGCAGAGCTTGCAGTGAGCCAAGATTGCGTCACTGAACTCCAGCCTGGGCGAAACAGCAAGACTCTGTCAAAAATAAATAAATAAATAAATAAATAAATTTAGCCGGGCATGGTGGCGGGCACCTGTAATCCCAGCTACTCCGGACGCGGAAGCAGGAGAATCGCTTGAACCTGGAAGGCAGAGGTTGCAGTGAGCTGAGATCGTCCAGATCGTGCCACTGCACTGCAGCCTAGGTGACAAGAGTGAGACTTGTGTAAAAAACAAACAAAAAAAACCTACATGATCCTACCATACAGATCTTCACGGCAAGAAAAAGAGCGAATGTTTTCATCTTCATCTTAACCATTTCTTCCCGGAAATCCTCTCCCTTTCACTCCCTGTTGGCAATTACTCTTGGTTTTCCAGTTAATTCCTTAGACACTCTTAGTCTCTGAGTCCTTCCTTAACCATAGGGAATTGGGCTTGGGTCCAGTCCTCTTCTCAGTGGCCCCACCTGCTCCCAGGGTCTCCATAATCATCTCCAGGGTCAGGAGATATGCAAGCCTCCAGTCTTTGGCTCCCTGAAGCCCAGACGGGTAGATACAACTCTACTCCACAGGTTCTCCTCTGTGCCACAACTGAACCTCACATTCTCTCTTGTCACACTCCAATAGCGGCATGAATGCCCCTATCTGCACCCAGAGGTCCTAAAAGGAAACTGGAGTAATCCCTGACCTTCTCTCAAGCCCTCAAATCCAATCAACTCATCAACTCCCTTGGGTGATCCCATTCTCCACAGTATCCTCATCCCTAAATCCTATTCAACTCCTTGATTTCCTCAGCAATAAAGGTGCCTCATAGCTCTACGCTGTTCCTAACACATTGTAATGGCAGCCTATGAACTCAGTAATTCTCTTCTTTGTGAGTTATCAAATTGTCATTTTATCTCATGCTGTATTTCTCCTATTCTAATTCCTGTATGAACAAACAACCAATTCCAGGCTACTGATCTCTTTTAAAGTATTCCAAGCATAGGCCTGTAATCCCCAGCACTTTGGGAGGCGGGCGGGTCACCCGAAGTCAGGAGTTCAAGACCAGCCTGATCAACAAGGAGACACCTCATCTCTACTAAAAATGCAAAATTAGCCAGGCGTGGTGGTGCATGCCTGTAATCCCAGCTACTCAGAAAGGCTAAGGCAGGAGAATCGCTTGAACCCAGGAGGCAGAGGTCGCAGTGAGCCAAGATCGCATCACTGCACTCCAGCCTGGGCAACAGGAGCAAAACTCCATCTCCACAAAAAACAAAACAAAACAAAAAACAACAACAACAAAAAAAACGTTTTCCAAGCATACTGGCTAAGCCTTACTGCAATCCCATCTACAGCTCAGGTGTACTTTTAAAACTAATCACTGTCCTGCTTCCAAGTCCTCAGTGGTTTCCCATGGCCCTCAGAACAAGGACCACTGGCTCAGTTGGGTGCCTCACGCCTTGCAACTTTTGCCTGCAACACTCTTCTACCTAAGCTCACTTCACTTCCTTTTTTCTCCTGAAATGTGCCAAGCTCTCTGCTCCTTCAGTGACGCACATAGTTGACACTCATGGTTAATTTTCTCCCCAAATATACTCTGTTCAACCTTCTGTCTACCTAAATCCCACTAATCCTTAAGGTCTAAGCTCAAATACACCACCTTTCTCAAATGTCTTCACATTATCCAAATTGTCTCATGCTCTACACTACCACAGCACTCTTGCTGTGTTGTTAAAGGGGTCTTCAAACCCACAATGGGAGCCTATTGGGGAGACACTTGTGCCTGTTTTGTTGGTCACCATGACCCCATCCTCAGTACAGGCTTGACCCAGCTGGCCCAAGATTAGCCAGGATTAACTGCTGCCCATGTGCAGGGGGGTCAACACCTTCCTCAAGAATGCAGTAGCCTGCCTGGCTAGGCTGAAAAAGATACACAAGTAGCATCAAAAAACAAAAACAAAAAAACACATTTCATAGAAGAATTACTTAAAATGCCTAATCTCTTACATGTCGTGTTTTGCACCAGGAAATGTTTCAGAAGCAGAATGACTTCCTCTCTGAAGGCAAAGTGAAGAGACCATTCCTTTCCAAAACACATGTGTACACACCACTTAAAACACTTACTGCTTATTTTTACTCCAGAATTGGTTTTCTTTTCCATTTCTCAGAAGTCCTAAGGCTTTTCATTAACTAAAACTCAAGCTGAAAAGAGCCCTGTGGTGTCCTGCTCAAGGTTAAAGTTTGTGACAAAACTTTTTTCACTCCAGGCTGTTAAGCAAATTTGAGTATAACAAATATAAATACTGCAGCTGAAAAAGGGCTCTTCTTAAAATAGCTCACCTTAAAAACAACCGCGGATGCCTTCAGTGGGAGACACTTCTGGATGGTAATGAACTGTCCTAAAAAAACAGAGCGATACTGGCTGTATGGTCTCAAGATCCTGGGCACTGGCTCTGGGATCAGAACTCCAGGTAAGGACAGGATATAGCTGGGAAGCCCTTTACATAGCGCCTGGGTTTAAATTAAATCTCACACCCCATCCGCCTAACAGCATTTTGGAAGTATTATCTTTTCACAGGGCAATACAGAGCACAACAAAAGAGAAAGGCCTTATTGATCTTGATTAGATTTACTCTTGATGAGATTCTCCTGCCTCAGTAGCTAGTATTACAAGCGTGAGTCACCACACGCAGCTAATTTTTGTATTTTTAGTAGAAACGAAATTTCACTGTGTTGGCCAGGCTGGTCCTGAATGCCTGACCTCAGGTGATCCGCCTGCCTCTGCCCAATTCCTGAGTTTCTACACTGAGGACCCTAAGTGCTGGGAGGAAATTTAAACATCAGGGGCAGGGCACTTGGGAAGTAGGTGGGTGGGGAGAAGTGACAACCACAGGGGATTTGACCTTAAGACCCCTCTTTCACTGGGATAGCACGGGCATGGGGCAACGGTGCTTGCTAGAAATTGTTATAGGAACACCTCTGTAAGCAGTGTGGAGACACATCCAAAAGACACTTCCAGTTTTATTGGGTAACTTCTTTGAAATATGCTTCACTAAAAAATACATCACAATCACTAGATCACCAACATCCCAGTAATAACGCTGCCCCATAGGACTAGGACACGGACTGAGGGCTATGGAATTCTGAGAACCAAGCTGCATGAGTTTTGGAAATGTGGAATTAGTAAAATCAACTAATTTTGCTGAACCTGACGTCTTAAAATGAAGACAATCACATCCGCCTTGTCTTGCAAACTTCCAGTGATTATTACATAAGACACTCTTGGGGGGTGTACAAATGAAAAGCATTACATTTATTAGGAAACCTATTCAGGGGTGAAATAGTTTCAAGTACTCTGTAATCAGGTTTTCAAAAGGCTTCAACAATCGTCTTGTTGAAGGATCTGAAGGGTGGAACCCAGTCATCTTAATGATCTGATCCACTTCTGCCCTAGTTTATCCCTGCGTGATCCACAGACCAACACCCTGAGGCCTCTGGGGACATGCACAACCTGGCAGCCAGACCCACGTACACCCATTTACCCCAATGGACCAGTCGCTGTGAGCCTGTAGACCACAGCCACAGCGTACCGCCAACGCACGCGGAGGAAGAGTCTGGTCTCCCCGCCCTCAGAGCCAGGAAACCGCTGGGGGCGGGGAGGGCTGCTCAGCTCCCCCAGGTGACTGGACAGGGAGGTTTTCCGAGCGAGCTTGCACGCGGTCTACCTAGATAATTAAAACAGCGACCCTAAAACAGATCTGGGTGGGGGCTAAGAATCTCCATTTCCAAAAAGCGCTCTCGAACGAGCTCTTCGCTGTGATACAGGTTGGACGGGATTAACGCTTGCCTTCAGGCAGAGCCAATCAAGATAAACAGGGCGCGCCGGAGTCCTACTAGTCTGGCTATCTGCAGAGTAAACAGGGCCGTTCAAGCACCACCCACCTCGTTTTCTTTTGTTCAGGACAGGACTCGAGGAGGAACCCTGGCCTCCCCTCCTAGACACACTCCCGTGCTCCCCGGGAAACCGGGTAGCATTCTCGCTAGGCGGCTGGGAGCGCGTTCGGCCGCGCCGCCCCCATTACTCAGTTACACTCTCAAACCAAAGTCCACCCGGTCGGGCCCACGGACTTTCATGCTCTAAGACTTACCACGGAGGCGAGCGGGACTGGTTTCTGTTGCTACCAGGCAAGCGCGGCTGGCAGCCAAGAGCCCCGAAATTCCACCGAAGCTCAACCACGCAGAGGGCTCCGGGGAAAGTCCAGGTGCATCTTTTTGTTCTCAACCTGCAACAGAAATCCAAGTGGTGGGGAGCCCCTTCCGCGAGGTGGAAGGCCCGGACGCGCGATAAGCGTGTTTTGGCGGGAAGCAGCGCCTAGGACCCGAGAGAAGGTGACGGCGACGTTCTCGCGGCCTCCTCCCAGCGCTCCGGCAGCCTCGGACCGCCCGGCCCGGCAGGAAGGTCGGCCCCAGGGCCTGCGCGGGCTCGGGCGGGAGCTTCCGGGCGGGGGGCGGAGCAAGCGGGGCGGGGGGGCAGGGACTGGAGGACTCCCGGAGGGAAAGGCGCCCTGCGGGAGGGGGAGGGGAGGGGGCGCCTGGCGGGCTTCCGGGGCCCTGAGGGTGAGGGCGACGGCGAGGTGGGGTGGGGGCTGTTTCCCCGGCCCGCCGAGCTAGCCCGCCTGGGCGGGACCTCCGGGACCCACGGTCCGAGCGGGGCTGAGGGGAGGGAAGGAAGAGGCGCTCCTAGGTCTGGGTCCGTCTCTGGGCGACCAGGGCGGCGGAAAGGGACCTGGGGGGCGGCCCGGGCTGGAGTGGCGGGGCTGGTGCGCCCGCGCAGCGGCTCACCACGCCAGGGACGGGCCGTCGGCCCCGAGGCGGCGCGGGGTCCGGAGTCCGGGAAGCGGAGGCCTCGTGATTCAAGACCGGCAGCCGGACGTGGGTCACGGGGTGTAGAGGAGGAAGTGCCACCGCCGGGCCCGCCAAGATGTCACCAATGGGAAACGCGTGCCTGCAGGTGCGGCCCCGTGGCCCGCGCGCTGGGCCCAGGCAGGAAGTGGGGGAAGGAGAGTCAGGGCGGCGGGAAGATAGTTCTCCGAGTTCTCCCGAAGGGAGCTGGGCGCGAGCGCGACCTGGGGAAAGTCCAGAGTGCCAGCCACGGGGAGGGGCGGGCACTGCAGAGTGGAAGAGAAGCCAGCAAGTTAGACACAGCCTTTCTCCGGGAGGCTGCCTCTAAATTCGAACTAGAGGAGGTGCCTTGGTTTGTACATTTGACCGTGGATACACGTAAAAGATTTTGAAAAAAAATCTTTGAAAAACAATTTTTAGAACGCAATTCCTAAAACTTTTAACCACGCAATTTTGTGGACCTCTGAATCTTAATTCAAATGAACTGGAGAACAATTATAAAGCAATTTCGATACTATGAACAGTGACATTTTATATTACGGAATTATAAATTTTGTTGTAATTATGCTGTAATTTTATTTCTTTAAAAGACCCTTTTTAAAGCCACAAATATTTGCAGATAACTGATTTCTCGAATATGTTTCAGATTACTTGGAAAGTGGAAATACACATGAAACAAGATGTGCTATGAGCTAGTAATTATTATTATTATTATTTTTTTTCTGAGACGGAGTCTCGCTCTGCCGCCCAGGCTGGAGTGCAGTGACTGGATCTCAGCTCACTGCAAGCTCCTCCTCCCGGGTTCACGCCATTCTCCTGCCTCAGCCTCCCGAGTAGCTGGGACTACAGGCGCCCGCCACCTCGCCCGGCTAGTTTTTTGTATTTTTCAGTAGAGACGGGGTTTCACCGTGTTAGCCAGGATGGTCTCGATCTCCTGACCTCGCGATCCGCCCGTCTCGGCCTCCCAAAGTGCTGGGATTACAGGCTTGAGCCACCGCGCCCGGCCTGAGCTAGTAATTATTAAAGCTCCTGATGCAGTTTCATTACACTTGTTTCTACTTTTGTGTATGTTTGACTTTTTTTGGTTTTATTTTTTTTTTGAGACAGTCTTCACTCTGTCGCCCAAGCTGGAGTGCAGTGGCATGATCTCGGCTCACTGCAACCTCCGCCTCCTGGGTTCAGGCGATTCTCCTGCCTCAGCCTCCCGAGTAGCTAGGACTATAGGCCCATGCCACTGTACCAGCTACTTTTTGTATTTTTAATAGAGATGAGGTTTCACCATGTTGGCTAGGCTGGTCTTGATCTCTTGACCTTGTGATCCCCCTGCCTCGGCCTCCCAAAGGGCTGGGATTACAGGCGCCAGCCCCCCGCCCGGCCTGTTTGCGGTTTTTTTTTTTTTTTTTTTTTTTTTTTTTGAGACGGTGTCTCACTCTGTCCCCCAGGCTGTAGTGCAGTGGTGCGATCTCGGCTTACTGCAACCTCCCCTCCCAGGTTCAAGCGATTCTCCTGCCTCAGCCTCTTGAGTAGCTGGGATTACAGGGACACGCTACCACACCCGGCTAATTTTTGTATTTTTCGTAGAGACAGGGTTTCACCATGTTGGTCAGGCTGGTCTCGAACTCTTGACCTTGTGATCCACCCACCTTGGCCTCTCAAAATGCTGGGATCACAGGCGTGAGCCACCGCACCCCGGCCTGTTTGACATTTTTAACAGAATTATTTTGAGACGGGGTCCGACTCAGTTGCTCAGGCTGGAATGCAGTGGCACGATCTTGGCTCACTGCAGCTTCAATTTTCCAGGCTCAAGCGAGCCTCCAACCTCAGCATCCTGAGTAGCTGGGACCACAGGCATGCAACCACGCCGGGCTAATATAACTGTCTGTAAAAGTGAGAGAAAACAAGTCTTTACAATGCACTTACTAGATGACAGCAATTACAGGGAACAGTAACATACTGCATATAGTGATGTAGAAACTACAAGGACAAATGAGCCAGTCCTTCCTCAGAATAGTTCCAGATAAAAGAACCCACAGAATTATGGTTATGTTATAAAATAAAGCAATTAAGTTTTAGAAATCCATCTTGAAATATCTGTGATGGCTTGGATTTGTTTGAAGTTGTCCACAAAGTAGTAGGTGGGGAGATGGAGAATAACTGTTGAATCTGGGTGACAGGCACATTAGCCTCAACATCCTGGGCTCAAGTGATCTTCCCACCTTAGCCTCCCCAAAGCAGCTGGGACTACAGTTGCATGCCACCAAGCCGGGCTAATTTTTTTCTTTTTTAGTAGAGACAAGATCTCTCTATGATGCCTAGACTGGTCTGTAACTCCTGGGCTCAACTGATCCACCTTGGCCTCCCAAAGTGCTGGGATTATAGGGGTGAGTCACTGTGCCTGGCCCAAGGCAAGTTTTAATTATTGATCAGTCACCATAGGGTTCCTGCCTGTGAGGGAACAACGTGTGCACAAGACTTGAGCCAGGGGTCTTACTGTGCAACTGCAGCTAGGTCTGAGATCAATGGTAGGAGATGACATAGCCTTAAAGGCCTGGTTTGCCGTTCAAAGGCCAGTGGGAAGGCATTTAATGGAATGTGGTGTGATTGCAGTTTTGCTTTTTAACAGTCTAGATGCTATCTGGAAAATGAATGGTGGGAATAGATACATAGAGATAAGATTGGAAGGAATGAAACAAGTCTAGGAAGACTGCTGGGAATTGAAGAATGTGAAAGGATTTGAGTAATGTAGAGAAAAATGACAATCTGGAAATTGATTGACTCACCAAGAAATACTGCGCACCTAAAAGATGCAGGAACTGTAGTGGTAGAGAGACACAGTTCCTGCCTTGGTGGGTCCAGTAACAGTGGAGTAGGAAATCAAGAAATGAGGCCGGGCGTGGTGGCTCAAGCCTGTAATCCCAGCACTTTGGGAGGCCGAGACGGGCGGATCACAAGGTCAGGAGATCAAGACCATCCTGGCTAATCCGGTGAAACTTCGTCTCTACTAAAAAATACAAAAAACTAGCCGGGCGAGGTGGCGGGCGCCTGTAGTCCCAGCTACTCGGGAGGCTGAGGCAGGAGAATGGCATGAACCCGGGAGGCGGAGCTTGCAGTGAGCTGAGATCCAGCCACTGCACACCAGCCTGGGCGACAGAGTGAGACTCCGTCTCAAAAAAAAAAAAAAAAGGAAATCAAGAAATGTACAAATATTTGACGACAAATTTTGGAATGAACAAAAAATAGAAAATAGGGATTAGCTCAGATTGGGGTTCTGAGGAAGTGACAAACAGGAGCATGGGTGAGTGGGAACACTGAGTGATGAATTTCATGTAGAAAGAAGGGAAATTCTTTTTTCCTTGATAAATAGCTGAGGTTTAAAGTAGAAGCTGGCCAGGAGCAGTGGCTCAAGCCTGTAATCCCAGCACTTTGGGGGCCAAGGTTGGAGGATCACTTGAGCCCAAGAGAGTTTGAGACCCGCCTGGGCAATATAGTGAGACCCCCCCATCCATCTCTATATAGGAAAAATAAAAATGAGGGGGGAAAAAAGACAAGTTAAAAGCCCATTATTCTTTTTTCCTTCTGTACATTATTCCCCCTCTGCATACTTGTTCAAATTATTTATATTTTTTACCAAAGCCCTTTACTAGGATACATTTTGGTGCTGGATGCTTTGTATTCATATTCTTATTTCGTGGTGAATTCTTTCGATTGAAGAAATTTAGCTGCTGCTGCTGCTCACGTCTGTTCACCACATGAGAAGCACAAGATGGGTCTTGGAGGCAAAAATTCCCCATCATGGTATATAGTATGTGAGCAGATCACAGACCTATTTGTTATGGATGTCTTCCTTTTCTGTTGGAAATGATATTGAAAATTGGACTTAATGGCCTCAAAAGTCTCTTCCAACCCAGCAATTTTATAAAATCCCTATTGTGACTCTAAAGTACTTCCTGCTGTCATGAACTCAAGAATTATGATACAAGACACTAATTCCATTACAAAAAATGCACCAACGCACACATTTGTACTTAATTTTTCAAGGGCACATGGATCTGAAGTGTGAGAATTCAACCCAATTCACACAACATGCCAAATTCAATACACAGAGCTATCCTAAAAGCTATTAAGGACTGAGAAGTGGCCGGGCACGGTGGCCCATGCCTATAATCCCAGCACTTCGGGAGGCTGAGGCGGGCGGATCACGAGGTCAGGAGGTTGAGACCATCCTGGCTAACACAGTGAAACCCCATCTCTACTAAAAATACAAAAAATTAGCCAGGCACGGTGGCAGGCACCTGTAGTCCCAGCTACTCGGAAGGCTGAGGCAGGAGAATGGCGTGAACCCAGGAGGCGGAGCTTGCAGGGAGCACCGCTGCACTCCAGCCTGGGCAATAGAGCAAGACTCCATCTCAAAAAAAAAAAAAAAAGGACTGAGAAGCTGCAGATGGAGCATATATTAACATTTTAAATGTTTACTCCATTATTACTACATTTTTATCCACCAAAGGGCATCTGTTCTGATCTGCCTGCAACAGGAAAGCTGTTTTCCATTACCATCTTATCAGGTTCTTTCACTTACTTGCTGTAGCTAAATCTGGGGGGATAACACACTGCTTCCCTCAGCATTCATTTTTCAAAAGATGTGTTACTAAAAAGCATCAAGAGTAGTATAATGTAATGTTACATTTTAAATATACTGTTTGTATTGAAATTAATGTAAGGGACATTTTTTTGACTGATCATAAAACAAGCAACCATTGCTATTTGATATTGACTGCATTTTGCAAATGACTCAAGAATCATGATATCTAAGGTAAATGTTCCTTAAAATGTTAATAAAAAGCAAAACTGCTACTAGACTGCTGTTCCTAAAAATAAAATCTGTTCTTAACTGAGGGAAAATGTCATTATTTGGATTACCTGGACTAACTGGAAATAATACCCATGCCTACCTAAGAAATGGGTATGTGCAGATTCCACTAAACAAAAATACAATTGATAGGAAGATCAATTTTGTTTTTCCCAGACCACCTCCTGTACCTCTCTCCCTTGAGCAAGCAGCCCCTAAGTAGGTGCATAGTCAAACCCTGGAGCTGGACAGAAAGGAGGCCTGTGGGGTATCCTCAGCCCCCTGAGGAAGGTACATCCCTTGGGATGGGAATTCTTTCTGAAGCCTCCATGGAAACATGACACCTTAGGTTCCAAGCAGCTGGCCCTG